GGGGGGCTGGGGGGGGCTGGGTGTGGCCGGACAAGGCAGCAACAATCGCAGCCGCGGCCTCGCCAATGAGGCGCGCGCAGGCGGCGCGAGCGCTCGGCGAGGCTGCTCGCGGGCTGCACATGCAAGCCTGTGCTCCTTGGGTGTGGCCCTTCGGGGGTCGCTTTGGGCCTTCAAGGGCACTGCGCCCGGCTACTTCATGCAGCCTGCGCTGGAGTGCGCGGCAGGACGCCTCACAGTACCATCATGCCTTTCCGCTGTTTTTGCATCCGACAGGCCTGGATGGAACGGTCACCTTCCAGCCCACGGCCGCCTCCCCAGCCATCCCCCCCTCCCCGCCGCTCGCCGGATCCCCCATGCCCGACGGCGCGCCCGCGCCCCTCCCGTTCGTGCCGGCCGCCGCGCCCGGCGTGCCCGGCGTCGCCGGCTTCCCAGCAGCTACCGGCGCGGCGGCGGCGCCAATACCACTGGGCATGCAGGCCATGGGCGCCGGCACGACGACGCTCGCCCCTGGTATCCCTTTGTTCCCCGCCGCGCCGCTGCCCCCGGCGTCCGCGCCAATGGCGGTCGACGCGGCGCCGCGCGTGGAGACGCCGCCCGACGACGACGGCGGCGTGGAGCTGCCCGCAGATCTGATCAGCAGCCTGCAGACCCTCGGATCGGCCGACCTGATGATGGATGATCTGCATAAAGACGAGCTGTGGGAGACGCTGTTCGGCGGCGGCAGCTTCCCAGGCAGCAGCGGCGGCTTGGCGGGCGGGGGCGCGGCGGCGACCGCGCAGCAAGGGCAGGGGGGCAAGCAGGGCGGGAAGCAGCCGGCCGCAGGCGTTTGATGAGGCGCGCGGCCAAGAGAGAGACGTTGACTTGACAGCAGCGGGCGAGCGGAGTGAGGGCAAGCCGACTGACATTTGACAAACTTGACAGCGCAGCGGTCGCGCCACAGGCCGCTTGGTGGACCTTCGCACGGGCTGGGTGCTGGTCTAGCACTCGGCATAGTGAGGCCACCAGCCTCCACTGCTCCTGGTGGGAGGAGGATGGGCCGACGGAGCGCCTCCCATGGCCAGGGCGGATCAGCAGCGCCCCAATGAGCGCGGCTCGCGCGAGCCTGGCGTCGGCAGGGCGCGCTGCGACGTGGCGCTGTCTGCTCGGGTGTGAGAGGGGCCTGCAGGGGACCCATGCGGGCGTCGTCGCCGGATCGCGTCGGTGCCGGTCCTTGTCGGCCGCGACCCGCGTCCAGGCTCTGCTCCATACCGTCTCGAGTGGGACCACCAATGCGGTTGCCCCGCCTGTTCGACCCATGTACATGGTTTTTCCGCCGACTTTCTTTTAGGTACCACTAAATACGATCCTTCATCATGGACCTAGCAGGATTTTGTAGCATGCAATGGCATGCACTCCCGCCCCCGCTTGCGTGCTGCGCGTGGGCCGGCCGGCCGCGGGCATGCACCCCAAACACTGCACACGAAACCGGCGGCGCGTGGGCAACCAGCCCCAACCTCTCATCATCTGCCCGCCTGCCCCTCCCCTCATCATGCTCTGTAATTTGTTGTGTGTAATGACCAGTGAGCAGCTTGTGTTCCTTGAGGTGACCTATTCTCACACTGAGTCGAGGTTGTGAACAAGCTTGGCGTGCCACCCACATGCCAGTGAGACTCCATGCCCCCAGTCATGATAACCAACTGCTCTCGGCTCGCAGCATCCCTGGCACTGTAGTAGCCAGCATGAAAGGGGTTGCATCATCTTGTGTGTGCTTGCCGGACTCGTTGGGATTGGGGCGGATGCGCCGCTCGTGCGCCTGCTGCTGCTGAGAAGCGGAACTGCACCCCGACCAGCAGAATTGCGTCTGAGTTTGTCCGCAGTCTCTACTGCTGACCTTATGTACATTACACACGACCGAATTCGTCATACCTTTCACAACGCTTACACCAGCCCTGGAGGTGCCGCACTGCTGCTGAAGCACTCTCTTGAGGCCCACGGGGCCCATCTTTCTCGTACACGCCCAAGCAGAGGCTTAGGAAGTTATTCAATATGGCTTCCGGCCTCTTGGCGTCGCTGCCTCAGCCCAGGCAGGCGCAGCCCGCTGTCGTGGCTGCCCCGACCTCGTTGGCGGTCGTGGCAGCATCCAGGGAGCCCCCTCCTTACCTGAGGCGTGGCGGCTTTACTCCCCGGAAGCCAGAGGACTTCGGAGATGGGGGCGCCTTCCCAGAGGTGGGAACCTGCAGCGAGCTTTGTCTCTGATCTGTTCAAATGAGCGTCTGAGGGGTGTTCGACGCGCCTTATGCAGGTTGTGATGCACAAGGCTCAACACTCGCTCGCTGCGCGTGGCGTCCACATGCGCGCGCGCTGCGCTCTCACCGCTGCTGCGCCGCCCCCGCCCCTGCGCTGCGCCGGCGCCCGCGCAGGTCCACCTCGCGCAGTACCCGCTCGACATGGGCCGCGAGGGCGGCGCGCGGGGCGCCAAGACGCTGGCGGTCAGCGTCGGCGCCGACGGGGACGTCAGCTACGAGGCGATCCTGCGGCAGGGCTCCAACAGGGATAAGATCATCCACTCCGACCACAGGGCCCTCGTGCCCAAGGTGGACCTGCTGGACTCCAAGGTGGGGGGCTGGCTGGGAATTGGCACTGTATACATGTGTGTTTGTGTGTGCGTGCGTGTGTGCATGTGCCTTTAAAAAGTGGGTGTGCCTGCTGTCGTGTGTGCGTGCGCTCGTGCTTGCGTGTGCTTGTGTGCGTACGCATGTGTGTGTGTGTGTGTGTGTGTATGTGTGTGTGTGTGCGCGCGCTTGCAAGCATTTGCGTGGGATATACACACACGCGCGAGAGTGCATGCATGCGGGCGCCAATTGGACTCGAGGTTGCAGCGACTCCTAGTCAGCAGGCTAGAGGCTGGGGAGCCGGCCCGCCGCCAAGGAGAAGCCTGTGGCTGACGCGGCCGCCCCCCTCGCCCCGCCCTGCCGCCCCACACGCGTCCTCCCCCCAGAACCTGCAGCGCCCTGACGACGAGGAGGTCGAGAAGACCGCCAAGGAGACCGCCGCGGCGCTGCAAAAGGTCGTTGAGGGCAAGCTGTCCGTCGCGCACCCCTCGACGCTCGCGCCGCAGCCGGGGGGCCCGACATACATTAAGTACACGCCCAGCCAGCAGGGCGCCGCGTACGCGAGCGGCGCGAAGCAGCGGATCATCAAGATGCAGGAGATGCCGGTCGACCCGCTCGAGCCGCCGAAATTCCGCCACTCCAAGGCGCCGCGCGGCACGGGGTCCCCGCCGGTGCCCGTGATGCACTCGCCGCCGCGGCCGGTGACGGCGACGGACCAGGCCAACTGGAAGATCCCGCCGTGCGTGTCGAACTGGAAGAACGCGAAGGGGTACACCATCCCGCTCGACAAGCGGCTGGCGGCGGACGGGCGCGGGCTGCAGGAGACGAGCATCTCCGACAAGTTTGCGGGCCTGGGGGAGGCGCTGCTGGTGGCAGAGTCCAAGGCACGCGAGGCGGTTGAGATGCGGGCGCGCGTCCAAAAGGAGCTGGCGCTGCGCCAGAAGGCGTCCAAGGAGGCGGAGCTGCGGGACCTGGCGATGCGGGCGCGCATGGAGCGCGGCGGCGCGCCGGCAGCCGCGGCCGCGGCGATGGGCGGCGGCGGCGGCGGCGCGGGCTTCGAC